AATGTCCTCATAGCTTGATTGACACTATCTTTTACCAGTTTCAGAATATCATCAAACTTTGGCTCAATACCTTCATCCTCTATACGAGAACTCATCTTCACCCACTTCCTTTACAGTCGAGTAGGTTGGCGTCTCGCTATTTCCTCCAGGACTGAGCCCGAGTTGAGGTCACTCATGCGATTAATCGAAATCAATGCATTCTTGTAAGTCAACAGATTATCCAGTGAGTGCCTTGGAGTAATCTTGTAATTGGTTAACATTACCCTTAACAGCTTCGAATACGTTCCTTACAATCATCGGAGGTCTTCCAAACCTTTGACTTAGTATGCTCATAGCCTCGTAGTAGCCCTCTTTTGTCTCCATAAACTTACAGCACTGTATAGCTCTTGCAGCATCTCCAGTGCAATATCTCATCAAATACATCAATTTCAATTCATCATTTAATAAAAAAACCACTCAACATGATCTCAAACTCCTTTACAAATTGTAAATAATCAGCCGGGTTTCCGTCGAAACACCGTGGTTCAAATTTAGAGAGTTTGATGTTCCTATTATCCCTGAACGGCGAATTAGTAACATCAACCTTATCATGCTTAACATCAAACACATCGTTACAAGTAACAGACAAGTCAATATGACTTACTTTCCTGCCTGCCTCCAAGACGGTTTGTCCATTTTTGACCCAGGGATCATTGAACTTCACCAAATATTCCAGAACAGTTCCAGATAACGCTTGTTCAAAGGAGACATGCTGGAACCATGAAAGACCGGGGGGACTATCCAAGCGTCAGAAACTCTCAACCACGTCTCAGAAACCGTTAATTCCCAGCTCTTGCTACGCTGGGCCTCTCGTTGTCCCACGAAGCCTTTCAGAAACGCTTAGTACTAACGGACGCAAGGACCAAAACACCGATTGGCGACTCGAGAATTCTTTATTCTAACACCGACATATGAGCAGCATAATAAACTAAGTTTTCTGACGGTTTTTTACATTCATTTTCAACAGCGACCGATGAGACGATGGCTGGTGTATTGATGTATCCGCGAAAATATTGGGAGGTTGGGTTTGAGCAAACAACCATGAATTCATCGTTTAATCTTGAAATACGTTTACAAAGGCTGCTAAGTACTTTTCAAGTAATAAACTGTGTGGAGTAAAGCGGTTTTCCATGCCAATTAAAATTCCTATTTGCATGATTTTGAAGAGAATAAAAACTGTAGCGGAAACAGCAATTCACCTTGAAAAAGCTGGATTTAGGAATGGCGAAACATGCTGTCAAGGTAGATGAAGATTGAACGATCAGTTCATGGTTGTTTGCTCAAACCCAGCTTCCCTATATTTTTCGCGGAGGTATCAATACACCAGTCATCGTCTCAACGTTCATTGTTCAAAGGACGATAAAAAGCGATCAGAAGTATTATCGTGGTTTATTGCTTTAAGATTTATTCTTAGATCTTGTGTATAATTACCTCGTTGTTGGCGTAAGAATACAGGATTCTCGAGTCGCCAATCTGCGTTCTGGTTTCTCGCTTTGGTTATTACAAATTGTTTCTGAAGGGCTTCGAGGGACAGCGAGAGGCCCAGCGTAACAAGAGCTGGGCATTAACGATTTTTGAGATGTGATTGACAGCCTTCCTTGACAGCTTGATGAGCTCTGATTTCTTCCAACCAATACGTACTTGCTCTTTCAAGGTAGATGCTATAACTGAACTATCCTCCAGATTTCCTATCTTATTCGGGTCAACTAATCTAGATTTAGCTACCAGGATTTTGTCTCCTGCCAGCCTGACTGCCATTGTCCTAAAACTTTGTCCCTTGTTTTTGACCTGAGAGGTTCTGAGAGTTGGCTGACACATGTATTGATCGAAGTGCGTCTCTACGCATCGTCATCACGGAACAAAGCGTAGAACAACAGTCAAACCTCTCTATACCTCAGCTTCATGGGCTTCGAAACGGCATTCGATGGCGTTGAGAGAGAAGCAATTTGGAAATTGCTTCAACACTACTGCGTGTAAGGCCCAAATCTTTATCAACCTCATCAAACAGCCGGGTATATGACAATACCACGTGTCAGGCGACCCACAATGGAAACACTCCATCAAGCCATTCGGAGTTAATACAGGGGTAAAACAAGACTGCCTGCTTATTACCTCCGATGATATTCTTAATTGTGTTAGACCGGATTATGCGTCAAACTGTGAGCAGGGAGTGAGAAGACAGGAATACGTTGGACTGACCGATAAACAAACTCCGAAGGACCTGGACTTCGCAGATGATTTATGTTTAATGTCACACAGACTCGAAGACTTGCAGGCGAAAACCAGCAAAATGGGAGAACAGGCAAGAACCAGCAAACTGGGAGAACAGGCAACTAGCGAAGACGGGACCCCGGGTGAACATCGAGAAGACAGAGGTGACGAAGAAAACCAACCAACTAATAGTGACAGCTACAACACTCAGCACCAATCACCCTCAATGGGGGATATTTGGGAAGGGTTGCTTCCTTTACCTATTCGGCTAGAAAGCACGGATTCAACCACTGCCTGGTGGAACGGATGATGTCAAAGCAGGCCATTAACTTGAAGCCAGTTTTGAAACCTTCTGCACTAACTCCGCTCAAAGAAAACGGTTCCGACTTTTAATGCAAAATTTTAGTCAGTCATGTCTTCCATATGGGTCAGAAACTTGCACCGCGCGCCATGGAAAGGATTTTCAGCAAGTTGCAGAATTTTATCGACAGATGCTCACTTCCCTGGTTCCATGATGAAGATCAAATGGCCAGAAAATAATCACAACAAGGGAGAGCCGAATGCTCAACAAATATGTTAGAGAAAAAGGAAGATGGATAGGACATACGCCACTGAGGAGGCCGTCGAATGACATCGCGTGCAGTGCAGGCCACCGCACGATTGGGAGGTGAATTGTAAGCGACAAGTGGGTCATCAGTATAAGAGCGACATGGAGGAGATCGTGTGAGTTGGAGGAGGAGATGAGATGTGAAATCGCGCTCCCAGCTGAAGAGGGTAGCCGTGAATAGAAGAGAGTGGAGATGTATTGTTGAAGCCCTATATTCCACTCGGTACCAAATGGAATAATCATCATCATAAGGAATGACCTTATCCGCACCACGCTGCAATCGCCCAGTATTCATAAAAACGATGTAACAGTAGATGAATCCTTATTGTTTCTTCTACCGTATTTAACCTACTTTTAAAACGCCGTCTAAGCTGCCCGACTCTCCTGTACGCTGACGACGTAAAAATATGGAGGGCGATAAAGTGTCCGGAGGACTCAGATAGGCTACAGGAAGACCTAAACCTTCTGGAAGACTGGGCGGTGGCCAGTGGCATGACTTTCAACTTGAAAAAGTGCAAAGTAGTGAAGTTGCGCACCTGTAGACTGCAGAATGCAAGTTACACCCTGTGCAATGAAAGCTTGTCCTGCACAACGTCGGAACGCGACTTAGGTCTAGTTCTAACGGAAAAAATGGACACAAGCGTAAATTACACAGGGGATGTAGCGAGGGCATATGCGGTCATACACTTTACGCATAGACAGTTAGGTGCACTCACTCCTGAGCTCTTTCTAATGTTGTACAAAACATACGTCAGGCCACACCTTGAGGTGCATAATATTATTGCACCCCCAATGCTGAGAAGAGATGCCAACCTCTTGGAAAGAGTCCAACGACGGGCAACAAAAGGAGTGGTTGGTCTCCGAAACAAACCATATGATGAAAGGCTGAAGAAATTAGGCCTGTTCACACTTAGTTACCGTCGGCTTAGGGGGGATTTGATTACTGCCTACAAAATAACAAATGACCAGAATCACCCAAACAAAGGTGTTCTGCCATTGAGTAGGTATAGGCTTCCACGTGGAAATCCCAGAAGGATAGCTCACCAGAGGGCAAGGACCCGGGTGCGCTCCCACTTCTTTTCACTGCGGGTTTGTCGTCCCTGGAATTCCTTACCGGCAGATGTAGCTATGGCACCGTCTTTGGACGCCTTTAAGCGAAGGCTGGACAACCATGCAGCGATACAAGGACTGCATCCAAATGGCCTATCTCCTTAAAATCGCATTTACCAATCAGGGTAGATAATTAAACTCGTCATTTTACTTCTTTACATTCTCTCCCGTCTTACTCTCCTGACAACTTATTAATATTATAATTACTATTATTATTATTACTATTACTGTATATATATATTATTCTTCAAACTTCATGAGCTGACTGTTGTTACGTTTCCTATTTTCGTTTCTGTCTCTTAGTCTGAATAGCTTCACTAATTATATCTATTATTATTATTATTACTATTATTATTATTATTATTATTACTATCTCTTTTCTCTTGTCGACAATACCGAAGGACTAACTGGCGAAAGGATCAACTCCAATCACAGTAGTAACAGTCTTAACATACCTCATACTACAAACCACATATAATTAATCCCAGCACTACTCCCTTTGGAGTCAACCAAAGCTACGACAGTCGAGTGGCGGGACAAGCTACGCAGAAGTTTACCGAAGATCAAGAACCTATACCTCACAATCAAGAAGCGAGCACAAAGAAATCAAATTGGTTTATACTAGCTCGTAAAAACGATATTGGATATTGGATATTGGATAAAACAACGTGTAGGTTGGTTTGAAAAAGCTTTGGTGTTATCGTTCTGCGATGAATCGGGTTTTGGTTTATTTTTGCCTCTTATTATGTTGGGCAAGCTTCGTTCAACCACACTTATGTCCTAATCATTGCCTAAATGGATCATGCTGTGAGATTGGCGTTGGGGATTTTAGATGCTGTCCATATGCTAATGTACGTTAGATGTGTTTCTCTGTAAAACCACTTATTTACCAGGGAGTATGTTGCATTGATGGTAAGAGTTGCTGTCCTGAAGGTAGCAGATGTGATTCGGGATCTGGTCAGTGCATTTATGCTGACGGAAGTATAAAGCCTTCTAGACAAATATCTGACGTGAGTGCTTTTATCCTCATTACAATGCTATATTAAACAGTTTCGGGGGAAATTTATAGGGGGGGGGTATTTTGGTGCAATTTTGGGGTAGTCTACAGACATTTTGGGGTTTCGGTTAAGGTGCCGATATTTTCATACATTTCCGCAAAGATTTTATACAGCTGCTCCGAAGTTATCCACAAGAAACCCCCAGATTCTTATTTTGTAATAAGACTGATTCCATACGAGTATTGACATTTATGCATTGCGAGGTGGTGAAATATAAGTTTATTCAATTTCTCCTCGGTGGTGAGTAACTTCCGGATCATCAGACGGTCATTACATAACTCGTCATGGCACTTAGCTACCGTAGTTTGGTGTGGGATCAACGAGGTTGCTAGGTTATGCATGTCAAACCACTGTTTTTCTTTACAAGCAGACCGAGCCGGTGTGGGATAAGTGTGAAAAAGAGTTATAGGTGGTCAAACTCTCAGTTAAATTATATAGGACATTCCATGAGTCTGCTTACATTTCCAGCCCAAATACTTATGTCGGCTTCTTAGGCCGTTAATCTGTTCTTCAAAGTATGCAAGTTGAGTACGTAAAGTTATGTTTAGAAGGTGTACATCAGTTAATAGGTTTGTGGACTTAAATCAGCTGTTGTATTTAACGTGTCACTTATAGTTCATAAGTATTGTTTATCCATCAAATGAAGTTAGGTGTTTCTGAGTTTTTTATAAGTAATATTAAATTGGGAATTTCTACTGTTATCTCCGGTTTTTATATCTTCATAGATTAAGGTTCGGTGATTCAAAAGAGATTAAAGCAAACTGAGTCTGATTTAGTTGTTTCCGCTTTGTAGATAAGGGATTATGGATATTGAGTGATAATGTATTGATTTGTCATAATTTTTAGTAGTCGTTTCTGTCTCTATGTAAACACAGTATTTGGGCTAATGATCTATCTGTATCTGTAATCATTCATCTTAGTTGAATTTCTCACCAGCTCTATGCATACATATTTTGATTGTAACTACGAATTTTAAATGAACAGCTACTGAGGTTGTATACAGCTGCGATAGAAGAGCTGTAGTAAATAGAGTCACCAAACTGTGTCTACTCTGATTTCTAAGTTTCTTTTGCCTACACGTTCTGATGGAAATTTCCGGTACATTGTTTTTTCTTTTATCGGCATTTTATTTTTTTTTTTACCTTGTTGTGTTCATGTGAACTGGGGAGACCTCAACGTTAATTAACACAGCAATAAAAAGTCCTATGTTAGCGTTCAATATTAGCATCCTGGAAGTTATTTGGTGAAATTCATTTAGACTCCTGCCTATAAAATCCTAAATGTTTGATTTGTATATCATGCTCATGTACTATGTTGACTAACAAAGAAGGAACAAATAAAACAGAAGAATTTTGCACAGAGGCACTTTGGTTCAAACCGTTTAATCTTGTACCATAGTAAGAATAGTGACGAAACAAGGAATTGAGTGTATAAGTATAAAGGCTATCTGAATGGAAATAAACGCAAGTGTGTTGTATTTTGTAAATGATGTTTGATTTCATCTGCACCACTTTTTCATAGTTATGCTTTTATCCGTAAACGATACCTATATAACATAGCCACTAGTGACATCATTTGGCTAAGTGTTCGAATCCATTATGCATTGATTACAACTCGAAATGTGTTATAAATGAATCAGCATCTCATAGGTATTCCTCTAAAGGATATTTCAGTTAAATGTTTCCACTGTGTGATGCAATAAGATATCTCTTTTTGATAGATTCAAATGTACGAACAAAACAAATAATGTTATGATGTGCTGTATTTTTTAAACTTCTCAACTTGTCTGACTGCGAATAATAATAAGTTTTGCTTAGTTTTACACTTAAATTTTAAGTTAAGATCTTTTATTTGTTGTCTTTAGATAAATAGGTTGTGTTTATTAAGAGTGATTGCAGTCGTTGGTTAAACTTTATGTAGAAATTAGAAGAGTAGACGAATTAAATATCAGCAGAATATTGAAGTTATCAGATAGTTTTCTCAGTAGTTATTTTATATTATATTTCTGATGCTAACAACTTCAAAACTGGGAGACTGGAAATGATTTGACTTACATAGGCGAGAATTTAGCAATATATGTATCCTAATGGCAAGAGTGATGTGAAGGATAGATACTACATTCGAGTGACCTTGAACCAACCAAACATATCGGTCAGGATTACAAATGATTGCTTTTCTCAATCTCGGTTGCAAGTTTCATTCTGATGTGGGGTTAGGGTAGGACTAAAGAAGGGTTATAATATGGGTAAGGGTGAAGCTTGCAATGGCTATTATGGGCAATATCCATTTGATGAAATGCTGAGCAGTGTGACCAACGTCAGTAATTTTTATTCGTTGTAGAGTCAACCGTTCATCAGATTCAGTGGATCCTATAACTAGTACTCATACAGTTTCTAGTTTATTTACTGTAGTCACTCCTATGGAAAACTGAGAACCCTTTCAGCAGCGTATTGAAGGCATATATCCTAGATAATTCATTTTTGTCATACATTCATCCAAGAAACATACTTTTTTATACTATACATGCCACTTTTTATCTCGAAGCACTTAATTGGCTGGTTCAGGGTCATTTGACTGTGGTATCTCTTCTTTACTGTTGCCAGTCTTGATTTCAAAATTAAGTCGAGATTTTGCCAGATGTACTTTTTATTAACGTGCATGTATGTAGTGCTTATTGTCTATTTTCGAGAGCATACTATTCACATTCTTAAAGGAACTGATATTGCAGATAGACTAATGATTCACCCACATTTCAAGCGTATTCGCTTTCTTAATTTTCAAGTAATCTTCTACATCTCCCTTTTGATACTACAGCAAATAAACAAGGTGACACAGAAAGCAGCAGATGACCTGGTGCCTTGGCGACTGTCTACTACAACTGTCATTTGTCCTGATCGCCTGTCTGTATGTTCTGAAAATACAACATGTTGTCCAATGGCCCATGAAAAGTGGGGTTGCTGTCAACATCCTAATGTATGTTTAGAATTGTTTTGTGATAATTTTTGGTTGTTGTGTCCTTAGTAATCTGTTTGTTGGAATATGTATTGAGGTGTTTAGGTATGTTATTCAGCTTAATGTACTTTCATTATTCTACGAGCATGTTTTTCCTCTTTTAGGTCGGGAAGAGTCGATCATCTGCACACTTCTTTCTGAAATCTAGTATAGTCTAGTTTCTCGTTGCCTCTTACAATTATTTGATTTTATTTGTTTGTATGCTGATAAACCTGGGCTCTATCCAACCCCTTGTCGACTGGAAGCACATATTTATTGTATAGTGGCTATCATGTGAAGACTGAGCAGTTGAGGAACTGCATCAACCCCAATCAACTAGTCGGTGACGAGATCTCATCATGGGTATGAGTAGTCCTGTTTGATATATGACATCTTGTATTATTTCGGCTCGTGCATAGTATCTGTGTAGCCGTCGAAAAGTTTATGTGTTGGGAAGCAGTTTTTGTTCTTTAGTACTTTATGGTTTAGACATAGTTACTGAAAGCACTCTGTGCACGTGGAGGTGTAAACCGCATGTCATCTGGTGTCCACAGCGTGCTGTAAATCAGTGATTAGTGGTTATCGGTAAGATGGTCGAAAATTATTCTCACTGGCACAAATGTCAATCACTTCTACTGGTTTGTCAGATATCGGAGGTTTTTACTGTTAATCATCTAATTATCTCCCCCTCTCCTGCACACTCGCATTCATTGCATTTCTTTTTTACCCTTCTGTGGACTTTTATGAAGCCTGACAACTTAAACTGGTGCCTTTTTGTTCAGTGTTTCATGTTTTTAGGTCAATCAGTGAGTATGCTGTTACCCGAAGCATTTCTAAAGTAATACCTCCTGTAACGGCAAACGTTTGCTACAGTCATAAATGTATCTCCTTCATGATTTCTTTGTTTTTATCTCAGGCGATTTGTTGTTCGGATGGAAAGCATTGTTGCCCTCAAGGATCAGTTTGTGATGTAACTCATCAGATTTGTAAGCCTTTGAATACCCATCAAATCTTGGAAGCGAATAATAACAATCATAACGATAATAGTAATAATGATAACAACAACTTCTTTGATAACCTATACTTGACAAAGACGTCTAAACCTGCTCGCGCCAATCCAAATATCAATCAGGCGAAAGGTATTGTGGGAAGAAAAGCAACTAACTCATCTGCTAAATATTTAATGTCTTATACTGGTACCTTATGTCCAGATCTACTTTTTGAATGTCCATCTGGTACAACTTGCTGTCCTAGTACAGAAGAAGGATGGGCATGTTGTCCATTCCCTGATGTAAGTAATTATTATTATTATTATTGATCTCACGAAATATCATATTCGCATTTATTGTCTACTAAGCGAAATCATAGTTTTTCTGTTCACAGAGGAAATATTTGCTTTCAATGACTTCATGTCTTCAGCCTGTGGTTAGGCGTTATTATATTACGGAAAAAGGCATTAAATGGCACTGAAAACTGCTCTGTCAACATGCACATATAATAAGATTAAAGGTAGTGATGTTTATAGAGTGTGGATTCTCAGTAGATGAATTACAAGAATTTTCAAAAGATTATTAAATACGTGAACTGGCATTACGATTTTACTGAGTAGCTGAAGTGTGGTGAAAAGGATAATTGAAAGTGCTATGATGGTAACATTGATGAAGGCGTTGATAAGGCGAAGTGGAATAAAACTAACCAAAATGAGGGCACTATTATGTCTAAGGTGAAGAAGGAGGTTTAACAGAACATGCTTGATCATATAGTGTTGCTTAGTAAAATTATTTTTGTAAAATCTCAGAGGAATTAAAATGATTAATTCCAACGTTTCCTGCGTTCGGTAAACTGGTGGCCGGAACTTCTTCAGGGAAAGTAATCGAAGTTAGCATAACAGAGGTTTATATATATACAAAAAAGACATCTCTTGTTTTTAAAAATTGTTGTCCAGTCATATGAGTCGTGAAACAGTCATCAAAATATAATAAAAAAAAAACAAAATTGTATGGGCTGTGATCAAAATTTGACCTCAGACTTTCAAAATTAGTGTACTTTTGTTAAACAATTAAAACAGTGTACTTGTCATCAGATTACGTTTGACTAAAGGCACATGGTCGTAGATAACTGAATATGAGAATTTTTGTGTATATATGCGGTATACAATGGTGTGTGTATGGGTAAACAGTCGTAAAATGTTTGTTAGCCTCTCCATGAGAAGATTTAGACAATCGGGAATTTAGACCAAGCATGATTAATTAGTGATACATATCCATTTTTTGTTTATTTATTAGTCAGGATTTTCCATGCATCAGCTAACATCACACCTTCACGTCTGTTCAAACTGTTGGGATTAACCCAGATATGCAAAGCCTCTGCAGTCCGTCTTTCTTTATATGAACCAAAACCTTAGTCTTATCAAAGTCGATGTTGGGTTCCGTTTCTGTCGAATGCAATGTAATCGCTGGTTGTTTTCTAGCTTCTTCAAGTCTGCAGAGGTCTTTGGAACCACCTTTAGACATTGTATATGCTCTTTCACTCTTATATTTGGCTATCTGGAAGTTCTCTTACATATACGACGTTACAATCCCCACAATTGATCTGGTATACGCAATTCTGCTGGTTTTCTTGTTCTATTTTATCCTTAACCTTCAACAGTGATGAGGAGCGTGAGGTGTTAGTTTCACGAAAATACACTGTTATGTCATAATTGTTAAGAATTCGCTTTACGTTACCCGAAGTTTCTTTGTTGGTAAGGAATCACCGCTGTACTAACCCAATTCTTAGCAACAGGTTTCAAAAACATCCTTATCTTTACATTTTAAATATCTTTTTATAGAAGCTTTAGGATAATTATTTGATTCCAGAGTGGATTGGGCCAATTTTAGTTTCCTGTTGATCTCTTCCTCTTCAGTAACTAGACGTTTGGCTCTGTCGCTTAGGCTCTTGTCCATGTATATTATTATTATTTTTGATTACAGCATGATTCCACACCGTATTTTGGGTACAAGTATGGAATTTTCAGCATGGATATCGGTAGCCCAAATTTTTCAGGCCGACCATTGATATCGGGTGTGTGTCGGCAGGCGATCGAAACCCAGATCATGTGCATGGTCGGCGAGAGTTCTAACCACTGTGCTACCGACGCACATACATGTAGAACCTCAACTGTAAATTAGGTGGAGAAAACGGATACTTTTAGAGAGACTTAATTCAGCGCTGTCTGTCTGTAGACAACTTGAAAGGATGAATTGCGTGGTCTTCAGTTGCCGGACTCATGAATGTGTTCATAGATGGAAGAATTTGTCCATCCTATGCTCACTTTCCATCAACCCAACTGGGTAGTGTTCAGCTACACGTCCAGTGTAATCAGCTCTACATAGTTATGAGATAGAGTAGTTGCCCATCATGTTTATTACCTTTATTCTTATCATGTATGTATATTTTCAAGAGTTTGAAGGTTGTAAAACTTGGGAACTGTGGTAATTCCATATTAATTTGTTTTATTAGATATATCACGCACACAGTTAAACAGTATTATTCACTGGATGACGAAGTTTAGACTACAGTTTATTTATTGTTCATAATCACTTCATCAATTATAATCACACGACTTCGAATCTTTCGTTCTATAGTTTTCTTTATTCTTCCCTTTTTGATGTCGCAGGTAGGTGTAGTAGAATTTTTCAGATGTCCCACTGAACAGGTGTTGAATCATTCCTATTACACGTGCTCTCCCTCAATTGATTCGATAAACAAAGCTTCTGTTATTAATGTCTCCCTCCACCCTGTTACATTAGCTTTCAAAACTGTCATCTTATCCCATCCCATCCTATTGTATGCATAGTTGTGTGTAATTGCATGTAGTGAGTGTTATAGCTGAACTATCCTCCAGATTTCTTATCCTATCAGAGTCAAATAGTCTAGATTTTTCTAGGTTTTTGTGCTCTGCTAGTCTGACTACACCTGTGCTACTGCTTTGCCGCATGTATTTGACCTGACAAGCATCCCAACAGGCTATTGGATAAACTAATTTGGCATCACGGATTGTATCAATTAGAGATCTACTAAAAACCAGTACTGGAGTATTGGACAGCCAGCTTTCTCGTCAGCCTAGTTTGGGATTCATCGACATTACGCACCCACCCCTAGGTTTCGAATCCAGGATATTCCGGTTACAAGGCAAGTTCGTAGACCATTCAGACATTGAGACTCCAATCAGTGACCACTCCATGAATTCTAACTTCTACCAGTTCGTAATTTAGCGCGATTGTACAATTTACAGTGCCACTTAATGCCTTTATTTCCTATCGTATTACAAATATGACTGACTGACTGACTACAGCTGGGTTGAAAATGAAGTCGTTGAAGAGAAATATTTCTTTGTTTAGTAGAACCTGAATTATTATACTTATAATGATTATTTGTGTAACATTACACTACACCCCGTTTCTTTTCTGTAAAAATCGAACGCCAAGCTTTAATCAGTGTGAATACAATTTCATCCTGAGCTTCATTTTCATGCAAATTTGGTTTCTGGAATTATTAAAACCATTTTTGTAGTGTGTCGTGTATTCTTAATAGATGTAAGTATGAGTAGAGAAATTATCGCGTCAAAGCCTGCCTGTCTGCCTGCGTGTCTATCGCCTTCTCACCAATCAGAGCCAGACTCCACCTAAAATGAGTCGATAGTATCAAAGTAATTGAGATTGTAATTACTGGCAGTAAATAGAAAAAAATGTGAACTCCATCCATGTGAATACATGAAACAGGAAGAGTATTAGTGTTATGTGTGACCACAGAGTCTGAGTGATGACTTCTTGAAGCCGGCCACATGCACATCCTGTTTGGAGTTATTTCCGTACGAGGGGAGACCTTACCGTCTGCAATGGACAGCCTCAGAAAATGACAGAAGTCTCTAGAGACTGTCTTTTTTTCAGACACACATAGAATAGATGATATTCTGGAGTCCTTGTCAATTGTATAATATCTATCTACCACTTGTGCTATGCGATTGGGTAAATATCTTTTTGCATCAGTGACACTACATGTTTGAGGCGAATATGAACAGCGGTGCTGTACCAGTGAGTCATTGGGAGGAATTTCAATCAACAGGTGTTTTAGACTCATTAACTGTGTTTAGTATTTTTTGCATTCGTTTGTGTTTCGAGTAGAACATATAGGGCCTCCTCCTTGTGGTTTGAAGGTTGTTTTGTAGCCGTAATTCTGTCTTTTATGAGATAACGTCGCTCGTCTCATGTCCAACCTCCCCTCTTTTTATCGGGCTTACTACCGGCTAAGCGAGGCTGTGTTAGGGTTGTGTTGGCGGGGGAATCTAACTCCGGATCACGTGAGTTGTGGTTAGCGAGAATTGTTAATATATGTGTAAAACTTGGGCACTGTGGTATTAAGTAATTCCATATTAGTTTGATTATTAAATGTATCACACAGTGAAACAGTATTGTATACTGGATGACGTTTCGAACACAATTTATTGTTCATAATCATATCAATTTTTGTCACACGACTTCGAGATTTGATTTTTATAGTTTTCTCTGTCTTCTCCTATTTTTTGTATGGGCAGTAGAATTTTCCATATATCTGGGACAGGTGTTGAATCATTCCTATTACATGTATTTGCAGTTGATTCGATAAACAAAGCTTCTGTTATCAATCTCTCCCTATACCCTGTGACATAAGATTTTAAAACTGTCATCCTATCCCATCCTATTGTATGGTTGTGTGTAACTGCATGTAGTGCTATAGCTGAACTACTCTCTAGATTTCTTATCTTATTCGGGTCAACCAATCTAGATTTAGCTAGGTTTTTATGTTCGGCTAGTCTGACTGCCCCTGTTCTACTAGTTTGACCTATGTATTTGACCTCGCAATCATTGCAGGGTATTAGATAAACTAAATTGTTTTGTTTTAATGGCTCTACAGGATCCTTTAACCGACAAAGCTTGTTTCTAATTGAGTTTGTGGGTTTGAATGCCACTTTTATTCCTGCCTTGTTAAGAATTCTGCGTAAGGCTTCCGAGGTTCCTTCTTTGTATGGAATTATTGTTGATGATTTACATTCCTTATTGTTGGTTTCGTTATTAATATTATTATTATTATTATCACTATTATTATTACCATTATTATTATTATTGTTATTATTATTGTTATCATTATTATTATTATCACTATCTCTGTTATCCTTCTTTGTTTTATTTTTACATTTACTTACATATTTCTTGACTAATTTATCCGGGTAATTATTAAGTTTCAAGGCTTCTTTTATGTGTGTCACTTCCT